CTTCGCAAATATTTAATTAAACGGAATAACTCGATAATATATTTCTGGCAAAGAATGATACAACATTTGACAAGCTACAAAATAATGTAGAAGTACCATAATAAAATTGAAAGTGGAATCTTGAATTCAGAACTTTCGTTATTGGAATATTAACAGCATACTTAAATGATGCCAGCATCAAATGATTAATTTGAATAAGAAAAATAAATTATGCTGGTTTCTATATATATAAATTACTGCAAATTGCAGCTTCTGAGCATTTCCCGTTACATTTGCAGTCAAAAGGCACAATCCCTTCCATAACAAACCACTCGTAGCTACACATATATGAAAAGATATGCGAAATTCGTTGCTGGCAACGAAAATTTTAATTTATACAATTTTTAGCTGTGTGACTTCCTGTTGCAAAATGCAGTTCTATGTGCAGAGAGCGAAGTTTGCACAACTTGTTTATGATTTCATGTCAAATACGTGGTAAAGTGGCTGACTGTCCTAGCCTCTTTTTTTGTTGGAGATGGGAAGGGGGGAGGGGGTTTGAGGGGTCGTGACACGAAGTCGAAAGGCCTTGGCGACACCAGTCGAAATATCTACAAGTGGAAGTTGTACTAAAAACACGCCCCTATTTGGCGCTAGAAAACTTTGTGATTTACTATGTGCAGAGAGGATTCGTTTGCTGTTGCTGCAGCGTGGCATGTTTGCCATCTTCTGTTGCCTTAAAGCAACTGCAAGTACATGTTTATGCTGCATTTTATTCAACGGATGTTCAACTTTCTGTTGATTACATTAATATTGTTTATATTGTTAAGGATATGAAAAGTTATATTGTTTACAGTACATGTAATTTGAGCACAAATTGCTATTAATTAATCCATGTGAAGAAAAGTAGCCCAATTTCTCTAATTGAACTACTTAATATATGAATACAGACTATGAAACGGATATATTCTTCACTTATGAATACACTTTGTAATTCAAATATAATTGCATTATTTCCACTGTTTATTTGAATCCAAATCGATTGCTTATATTAATTTAATAACACTTCCTTTGTATTAGATATTAAATGTTTATTTTGTTGGTTTTATTGCATTATATTTTGTACCCACAATACAATTTTTATTAAACTTACTTATTAATTGTTAAATATTTATTCACGTATCTTTTCATTCACTTTTGTCGTACTGTAAAGTATATCAAATTTCAACTTGATATGTGAAGAATTTACAATTGCAGTTAAAGTGTTGGACTTATATTTTTAACAGTTGCAAGCGAACAGCCAAAGCTCACACACACATTCGTGCAGACAACTTTGTGGCATGCAGCTGCATTAAAACGGCACACAAACCACCGCACAACCTATCACACTCCCTCCCACTTCGTTCGCTCTCACAAAACGCGACTTCAAACCAAACACTTTGCATATATGTGTTCTCAGCATAAATGCATTTAAAATATATAAAAACGCGAGTGCAAAATAAAAAAAAAATATAATAAAAATATAAAAAAGTGTGAAAAGAGAAGAAAAATCTTTCATGCGCCTGAAAGCACGCTTCAGTATAATTTGCGGTCATGTTCATTGATCTCCTGGGAAGCATTAAAATTTAATGATTTATATTATGGAAACCATTTGGGAGAGTTGCGGGGCCACCTCCACTGGGCGCTAGGCAAATGAATTTATGTAATGTCTCTGCTGCGACGTGCTTTAAGGGGTTAACATTATGAAATTAACAACAATTTGACTTATACGCGGGCGTAAATGCCAACACGCACACAATCAAACACGAGCACACACACACACACAGAGAGAGAGGACAATATCTGGGCCCAAAAGTATGCTAAACAACCGAAACGACGGCAGTAAAAGTCATAACTCAGCTAGGGAAACTTGGCGAAAGGTAGTGAGAAATGTGAGTTTGGCCCCCGCAACTGCAACTATTAATCAGGCTTTAATTGTTTTGCGTGTATGTGTGTGTGTGTGCGTGTGTATGTGTGTTGGGTACATTTGTGTGTAGGGCAAAAGGACAGACAGACAAACAGAGAAACACAGAAGGAGAGAAACACACACGCGCTCGGTTGAGGCCCATGCATCATGCGGCCGAAATCTTATTGTAATCTCTGGCATTTGTCTGGATTTTTCGTAAAGTCTTTGAATAGATTTATGCGTCTTTGACAGGCACAAGATGTGAGCTGGTGTCTGTGTACCAAGCAGCTTAAAGTATCTTAAAGATATGCTACTGCCAACAACTTGAATAAAAATGTTCAAAACTTTTTGATATTAGGCTGCAACTAAAAAGTGATGAGAATTAAGAAAGGATATGTGAAATGGATTTTAAAAATTCAAATGTTTCATTAACCGAAGGCGGTAAGCCTTAAAAATTGCATTGCTTCACCATACAGATCTTTACAAATATTTGATCTGTAAAAACAAAAGTAAATTCTACAATAGTTCAAAAAGTTTTCCAAAATTATTTCATTTAAATAATCGGAGTCTTACGGAATTCTTTCTTAGTCATATATTTTTCTAGTATTTTTTTTTAATGTCTTCAGATAATTGAAATAATCGATAACATATAGTTTGATGATTTGCCAACTCTATGTGATGTCCCATTTAAAAATGGGCAGCACAAAAAATAATATTGCACAAATCTGAAATGCCAAATGCCAAACTGTATTTAAAGGCTTAAAAAAAAGCTACAAGTTTTAGTGTCCTCCGAAACCCTGTGTTGGTTGGCTGTTGGCTGTTGGCAACTCTCTGGCAGTGACAACAGCAAACCCCACCAACATACAACACTTGCCCGAGAGTACTGGGTATACCCAGTGCAAGTTGAAGTGGTTTTTGCGCTGTGGTTGCGCAATCGTCTGTATGAGTGTTGGGTTCTTTTGCTTGTTTCTGTATTTCTGTTTTTTTTTTTTTTTCTATGTCTGCACATGCTGCGGTCAAGGGTTGTGTTGGTGTTGCCAAAGTGTTGCCATATATTCTAAATATGTTGGTTGCTTGTTCGGTACGCCAATGACCAGTTGGTTATGGCCACTTGGCTGGCTAGCTGTTGGGGTGGGGCGGTTTAGGAGAATCCACATAAAAGTGGACAGTTAAACGCAAAAGCAGGCTCTAAAATCCACTTGGCAACTAAACGCGTGATTTATACCACAAGTAAGATAACAGCAGGCAAAATGCAAAATGGACTTTGAGGTAAGGCAAAGAAACCAAAAATGAAATGTTTAAAATAAACCCACATTTTTGTTTGTTATCACTGACATACTTAAAGCTTGTTTCGCTCGCGTCAGATAAATGGTTTATATACAAAAAAAAAAGAAAACTCTTGCACTGAAACCAATGAAGAGCATATTTAAGTTATTTATAAAACTATATTAATATTTTTTAATTGCTGCTGATGATATTTAATTAGAAAATATTAACAAATATGTTTTAGAATACTCCTTGAGCATTGATCTAACGGTTTTCAAATTTAAATTGCATTTCTTAAGTTAAGTGAATTGGGACTTAACATTGATTATTATTTCATCAAATACATTAAACCATTTAATTTGCTTTGCTACAAATTGAACTGTCTGCATTTGCCGGTGTCTGTGGAAATATTTGACTATGCTGAAATAATTAATAATATTTGCCCAATAGCAACAATAAAACTGATGAAATTTCTCGAAATTTTCAGTTAGTCGAATAGACACAAAGAAAACATTAAACTTTGGTGTCTGGAAATTCCATTTTTATTTTATTTTTTGCCTGGGATTTCTGCCGTTTTATGATTTTATTTAGCGTGTTTATCTCGTGTCCAGATTCACATGGTCACATATATATATGTTTTGGTTTTGTTTGTTTGCCAACTGTCTGGCCCTTACCAACTTTCCCTTTCCCCTCATCCTACAAGCGACCGTTTCTGTTTCTGTTTCTGATTATTTATGCGCACAAAACAAATAAAATGTTGCCCCATTGGCCATAGGCAGACAGTCTAAGCGATCCACTACAAAAATACACATTCTGAACCAATAGAGCTGAAATTTTTATTACAACACTGACTTCAATTGTTTTGACTTCTTAAATGGGCTTTATAATAAAAACCATTGAACACATCAACAAAAAAAATGTGATTCTTATCTTTGTGGTGCCGAAAATTAAATTTAGTCAACAATTTAAATACGCTTCACATTCATATACTCCTAAAAAAAATCAATACCTAAAAGTTAAAAATGTTATAGCAAATATTTAAGCTGAGTACTTTGATAGATGATAAAATGGATATAGCATACGAATAAAAAACATTTTAAAATTCAAAGCTGTCAGCTTTTGATCGTTTTCAACATAATGTCAAATGTAAGTAATATTCCAGCAATGAAATGTTTTTAGCTGAACTGCTCTTTCCCTAAACAAGTTGCATACAGTGGTAGACATTCTCAATATGTACGCACGTGAAAGAAGTAGACCTTTTTTGTTAACATGCCACGCCTTCTTTGTGTATGCTAAAATATGTACTCATTACATTGAACTAGGTTACAAATATGCAAACCATGCTAAGCAAAAATTGGATCTCTGCTTGTCTTGTACAAAGTTGAGTCGTGGTTGATGAAGGGATTGGAACGTGAAGCGGGACAGAGGAAATGGAAAACAAAGGCGAGAACCTTTCACCTACAACATGGCTATTGAGGTTTGGGGCATACACAAAACACTAAACAATGGCGCTCATCAGCAGAAGAAGCGCAATGAAAATTGGAAAATTCTCTTATTGTCGATGCAAAAAGAAATGGAAAATAGAATTGGAAAGAAAAGAAAATGTTTTGCACAGACCTCTCAGCAGACCTCTGCCTCAATGCCTGTTTCCAGCAGTCCCAAGTCCTTAATAGCTTACCTGCCAACTTTCCGTGTCTCTATCTCTGTGTGTGTATGTTTGTGTGTGTATGTTTGTGTGTGTAAAGAGAGTGTGTGTGTTTGTGTGTGGGCGTTAACGTGCCTATTAATGCCTTCGACCTGGTTTGTGGTTGCATTTTTTTATTTTCACTTGCATGCCGTGCTAAATTGTAAAAACAAAGAAATCAAACTTCAGTTTAACGTATGAGGGGTTCCCCGTCGAGCTTCTTGAGATTGGGCAAGCGGCGTGTGGCCTCGGCAATAAAGACAGCCGTATCCATGTTTTCGTTCAAAGGATTGCCCACAAACGTGATATCGATGAGGCTCGGCGGCACACCTATTCGTGCAAACTCGGCCCAGTCCTTAACCAAATTGTGCGATATATAGAATACTTTTAGGGCTTTCATCGCTTCAATAGGCTTGATTTTCTCTATATTGTTGTAGCTAACCCAAAGCTCCTCGAGGGTATCGGCGAGAACTTCAATGCCATTCAGATTCTTGAGATAATTGCGCGCCAAGCTCAAGATACGCAAATTTTTCATGCCCGAAATGCCGGAAATCTTCTCAATCATATTCGAGGACAAGCTTAACTTCTGGCACGCCACGAGGTTGCTGAGTGTTGCATCCATTTTCTCAATCGGCGGATACTGAAACTGCAAGCCAATATCTAGAGCCGATATTGCCTCCTGCTTGGTGCGATCCTCCCAGCGAGCCAAAGCATCCTTAATTGTTGTTGGCTTGGCCATTTTTATATAGGATTGTTAAAAATTATTTTTGTATTTTAATTATAAGTATCGATTGTGCTTGTAACACAAACAATCTGTGATGAAAAACACACAGCCAGCTTGAATAATGATTAATTTTTAGTAGCTTACTTGATTGGTTCAGAAACTGTTACAATATTGAAAATTTATCATTGTAATTGTGAAAAGTTGACTCTTATCTAAAAATTATTTATAATTTAACTCATATATGAATATCCACACAAATATATATATATGTACTTATGAGTAAATTTATATGAATGTATTTAATTTTTATTTTTTCAGCAAAGCATAAAATCTTCAGGCTTAAACATTTAATCAATAAAAATGTACGTATGGAAGAATATTGCAAATAATAGTTAGTGTTTTGTATTATATTTCTATGGCAAACCAAATAATAATATAAAATATGGCCGAAATACAATATGCTACAATATTTAAAAACAAAGCTATTGTCCAGGTAGATGAATTCTTTTTTTGAAAATAAGAGTTAACTGGCATCTTATTACATTCGCTTTAAGGCCTGAGGGGGGTCCTGTGCTGTGGGTACAGTCTTTATTTGCCCCCCTTCAGCCTCTGCTGCTTCTCTCACACATACATACACACATACACCATCTAAATGTAATTTATTTATTTCCCTCCATGTTTACTCGGCTTTTGGCTGCTCCCCAAGCTCCGTCTGGCACACGCTGATAACTTCATTGGCAATGCCTTTTGTTTGAGTCTGGTTTAGGGGCTGGCATAGGGGTATTTTGTGGGCTCGGGTTCGTTGCGACTCCACAGCTACCATATGCCACATAACCGTCTGCGCTTTTTTTAAGGTTGTCTTTTTTTTTTTTTGTCATGTTCGCCCTGTGTGTAGCTGGGTGTATGTGTGTGCTGTGCAAGGACCCCTAGGGAGTTTATTACACATATTTGAGGTGATAATACAGTTTGTTTTGCCCTTTGAGACCGTGGTCGGGGTAACTGCCGTCTGTTGCCGTTTGTCGAACAATAATTTAATTTTTGTTTTTTTATTTTTTTATTCGAACTTTAAATTGTGGCATTTTCATTTAAATATTTGTTAGCAGCTGTTATCGCACAAGTTGCAACATACATATTTTTAATTTATTGATGCGGCTCAAAATGGTAATAAATATTTAAAAAAAAAACTGGTGTCACACATTCCCATATGGCGTACGTTTTTGATAATCGTCCAGAAATTTGCCAAAACATATTTGACCCTTTTCTGTGTTTTTCTCTTACATTTTTTTCGTGTACCAAATGAAATTTGTTCGCTCATAAATTGCGTGCTCAATGCGGCAGAACTGACAAAAAGAGAAATAGAGAGAGAGAGAGATGGAGAAGATATGTTGCAAATTTGACCGAAAACATAGTTGAAATGCGTACAAAGTCTTATTTATGAATACGGTGGGCCTGTTTGGGACGCTAATAGGTGTAAGCAAATAGCTTGCCTTCAGGCAACTGAATGCCAAGAGATACTGGTACGGCACTGAACATTATAAGAACATCAAGAAATTGTAGAATTCATATATCACAAAAATCTAACTATTTAAATAATTGTAGGAAACATTCGACAAGGAAACATTCGTTTAAGGAAATATATTGTTCATACTGAAAAATTCATTAAATAATAAGAGCTGACAACTAAGCAGTTCCGCAACCAAAATGAATTTCAACAATTAAACAATGTTGGCTAGGCGAGTGAAGGGGGATGTTTTGCGTCGAGCCCAGCTAGAAGCGTCCCAAATGGACACATGCATTATCACTTACACGGAACAAACATATGAAACCGGGCAGAAGCTTTATTTTCCTCACTCTCGCCCATGCTCTGTACGAGTGTGTGTGTGTGTGTATATATGTGTGTGGACGTGTGTGTGTGTGGTAGCCCGAGAAGCCACAACATGTCCTGTCATGCAGCGCAGGACGTTGCGCAGCGGTAACATGCGGTAAACGTTACAGTTGTTGACAGTCGTGCTTGTACTGTTTAGGTTCAGTTAACAAGCGAGAGGCGACACAGCCAGAAAAATACTGCACAACCAACTTAGGGGAGTGGAGCAGAGTGTGAGTAAAGGAACTGAGGAGCCATCATCTTTTTAGTGCACAATCAGTTAAATGAATTAAAGTGGGCTGTGTAGTATTGCAAAATGCCATACTGTCCTTCCCTCTCACTATGTAATTAATTTTAATGTATTTCTTTTCATTTTTAATATCCCTTTTTGCCATAGCCACTAAATGAAAATATTCATAGTTTTAAAAATATTTTCTCGAAATCTTTTCGAATCTGTCGCTGTCTTTGCTTTTATTATTACTGTTTGGTAGTCTTATGCACACCAAGTTTGATCTGTTTTCTTCCAACAACTCTTATTGTGGCAAAAATTGAATAATTTTTGTCCGATTTCAATGTTTTCCGAGCTTAAGACATGTTGGCATTTTCACCCATATGTGCAATTTTAATTAATTATTCATAGTTATGTGCAAACCCTTACTTAGACTTTCCAACTCTGTGTTTAGCACACATATTCACTTTGTTAAGTGAATAGCTATGCATTTCAAGCTTCTCCAGTTTTGCAAAATACTTCTAAGTATGTCGCTCTGCATCCATTTGCACGGCTCACTTAAGGCAGCTAAACTTTTCTTTTAGTTAAAGCAACTCGGCCATAAGTCACAAAATACTGGCAAGTACACATTGTAACTGTTGTTGTTGTTGCCACTGCTGTCGTAAAACTTTTATGTACGAAAATATTTTTCCCTATAAAACACCTGGCCAAAGCAAAGCACCAACAAAAAAGTCACAGAGACGAGCGAAGGCGAGAAAATGTTGCATATTGAAAACTTTGCATTAAGCAAACAAATTGAGAGCGACTGAGAACCTGATAACGACTGAGAAATATAGTTGACTATAAAAATTGTAGCTTGAAACTATTCTCAAGGTAGTCTTGTGTACATTAAGACCAAGAAAAAATCTTTTCAAAATCTAGCCAAGACTGGGAACCAGCATAGATAGGGTTACCTGTCCTAAGTTTGAGCTTAAGGTTGTGTATTTGATTTTTTAAACTAAAACGGTTGATAAATATTAAAGCAATGTGCACGCCAATTAGGTCCTAATAAAATGTGTTAAAACTAAAATGATTTTCATAAGGAATAACTTGTTTATCATAGTTTAATATACAAGAAAAATAGTCCATGATAAATTAATAATTATTATTCCGATGTAGGCCTTATAAATGTGTTAATTATATATAATGATAGTTAGTAATGCTGTTTTTGACAATTACTAGTAGATGCTTGATAAATATTTCTCATTTAAAATAATTTAAATACCGGCAAATAAGAAAACATTGTCAAAACGTTCAATTATACTACCATGTTGACATCTAACTACTCCAAAATGTTTTTATTTAGTTTGATACCCTTGAAGTTACACATGTGTATGTGTACTCGCTTCTGAGTATATTCTGAAGTATCTGTAAGCAAGACTCAGTCCTAATTAAAAGCATATATCTGCATTGCGTGCCAATGTTTCTGGCAGTCAAGGATGTGGGGCAAAGCTACGTGGATGTGGGCTGTGTTCCTTGGTGCAAGAAGGCAACTCACGTTTCCTAAATCAATAATATTGCAAGCGACTGTTTAATTGGTCCGGGTAGGTATAGAGATTGCCCAATTTCTTGGGCACCCAAACATAGACAGCATTCGAGTTTGAGTTACATAACCGCAAATAGACAGTAGGAACCGGTTGAGTCATCGAGTTGCAAGGAGCCCAAGAGCCTTATCTGGAGCCGTGCTGAGGAAATTCACAAACAGTCTGACGTTTATGATTGCTGCAAACAAAAGCTACGATGACTGCACTTGAAATTGATAATTACGATGCAAAATATTTGCCTATTGTCCCTGCACACAACATACTTACACACATTTGTGCACTTAATAATGTTGTACAGGGAAGTCTATTGCTTTGGGCTTATTGATTGCCTATTGCTCATTAAATGTGGATAACTGGCAAAGATAGGAGGAACTGCTAATTGCTGCATCCTGGTTCGAAATTGTAAGCTAAGTAGAAGACTATGAGTAATAGCATTTGCTTGTGCTTTTGATATTTAACTTTGCATTGCCTCACAGATAACGCAAACCGTATCTATTTTTGGAAAATTCAAAGATTTTTGAGAATATTGAATCATTAAATATTAAATTCAATTAATTCGTGTAGGTATTTGAAGTGAAAGGCTTAACATTCCTCAAAATTTCATCCGTATTTATAGAACGAATATTAAATTACGAATAAGCAAGCAAAGTCTTTTCGCTATATTTCAATACTTCAATTAAGTAATATTTTATTTAAAAAAGGTTGCTTTATATTTCCTTTTTCTATTTCAAATCGTATTTGGAATAAGCTCATAGCACGGGAGCTACCATAAATGTATAAATAGTAAATATTAACAAATTATTCCCATTGGGGTCATCATTAGCAGTATAAACTGCATTAGAGGTAATTTTTTAATATTTAGGTTCATTTTTAAACAATTATTAATGCGGGGTTTTATATTTCAAGTGCTGGCAATTTGACTACTGCGACAAATATCCAAAATTGAAGTTGACGCTAAAAGAGGAGTGGATTGGGTCGGATAGAGCACATCATGTGACTTCATGTTGTATAACTTATTACAACCATAATTAACACTAAATTCCCCAAATGGCAACAGACAACTGTCAACTGCAAAATCATTTGGAGTATGTCCGAGCATCATCGTTATAGACAGAGATAGGCAGACTGAGAACAGCACTGAGGACAGAGAGAGATAGAGAGGAGGAGAGCGAGATTGATAGGTAACGTTAGAGAGAGAAAGACAGATGTAGGCTGAGTGACAGACTCGTCTGATACGGCTGACTGTTGTGCCGAGTGCTTGTCATGTTGCAGGACTCGCTTACATGGCAGCTGAAAGTGCTTCCACTTTGCCTGCCCTTACTCCCTTTGACCTTTCTCTCACTCACCACTGCTGCTGCTGACTTATGTGTTGCACCGTGCACCAAATTATAAAATGTTAGCTTAGGCCGCAATTTCACATATCAAAAAGTTGTTGTCAATGCCGATGGCATTTCCTTGTCCCCTAATGCACTGCGACAAAGCATTTCCCTCTCTCTCTCTCTCTCTCTCTCTCTCTCTCTCTCTCTCTCTCTCTCTCTGTGTATACATATATGTATGTGTGTGGACATGTGTGTGCACAACGTATGCGTTGAAATTAGTCAAAATCACATTTGGGTCACATGTTGCAGATATGCTTAACAGAGCATTCAACCTTAAGTATGAATGCGACTATGATAATTATGTGAGTTTCGCAATTCCAATAAGAGTTTTAAGCTAAACTATTTATATTCCATAGTAAATAAAAGAAATTCAATTAATTAATTTATCAGTATTTATTTTTATTTCTATATAAATCCGCAAAAATTGCAAGCAGTTAGTTCAAAGTAATAAGAATGCCGTATTATAATGTGAGATGGTTAATTTTAAATTACTCGAGTTACACAAATATTACAGAAGTCATAAAAGAAATTTCACATTAACTTGAGAAAATTCACAAAAAGAATATCATTCCATAAAAGAGTTATGCCACAATCGTCGGCAGCAAGTAGCTTGCCAATTTTCACTTAACATATAAATTTACATGTTTAATTAATGATACCCACCAATCCCCGCCCACGCGGACTCTCGAGAGATGAGAGCATTTCAGTCGTTGCGCAAATCGCTTGATAATTACTTAAAATAATCTACAGCCACACGATGTCTTTGTGGGCTACGCCCACTGGCAACAGGGAAAATACAAGGCTAACCAAGAAGTACAGAAAAAGCAGGCCAAAAGCATGAGAAGGCAAATCAAAAACACCCTTTCAGTGTCCCAAGCACGCTTACAGAACGTTTGCCAAGTGCAATTTCTCAACTGGCAACAAAAACAGCAACGCGATGACACCAAGAGGGGAACTATGTAAATGCAACTCAGACCAACATATTCGCTTAATGGGTTTTTTTTTCATTTATTATTTTATTATTATTATTTTTTCTTTATTTTTTCTAGTGGCAAAACTCGAAAAACAATTAAGCGACAAGTGTCTCAATTTCAACGTCACTTACTAACATTTTAAGCAACTCTCAGAGACAATCAGCCAGCGAGAAAGAAAGAGAGAGACACAGAGAGAGACCAACAGAGAGAGAAAGAGAGAGTGGGTGGGAGATTGCATTGTATGAAATGCAAAAGTTTTTACCATTATAAAGTTGCGTGACAAGAGTGCAGGCGGGTGCAGAGAGCAGAACACTATGAGAGAGACACACACAAAAAGTTAGGGGAAAAAACTTAATTATTTGTGTGCTCTATGGGCTGGTTATAGTCCTGGTCTGTCCGTGCTCTGTGTCAAATGTGGAAGGGGGCAGATACAAGGGATATTGCAACCCAGCATAAGTCCTTGATGTGAATGTGTGAATTCGCGCTGAAAAGTATGCAACGTATTTTAATCGAAAAGGTCTGCATAAAATGTGTGCGATCTTTTTGCAGTTGCAGCTGGGGTGTTTTAATAGCTTGACATGGTAAATTATTGGTATTAATATGCCAAAAAATATGTCAAATAAAAACATTCTAGACAAAACCAGTTGCCAGAAGCAAAGGTAAAATCAGAATTCTTTTAAGAATCATTTTGTATGCGAATACAATTTGAGAGTCATGTTTGCAGAATAGACTCAATAACTAACTAACAATTATCCAACAAAATGCGTACTCTACATATTGATAAAATACCTGAATTAAATTATTGTATATACATGAACATATTCCTCAAAATCTATGTAAATCTAATCACGCAAAAGAAATGTGCAATTTCGTCAAAGAGCAAACAACTTTGTAAAAGAGAAAAAGTTGAGGTGTGCCCGATTCTTGAATTTCTTGGCGACTAAGGCAAATCCCAGTGGATTATGCCATTTCGCCACATTAATCCCAACAACGTCAATAAACTGTGCGTAAACTGTTCGGTCACTCCACAGCAAACCACAGCAAGCAAAAGCACGCACAACCACGCCCACAGGTTACATTAAGAGTCGGCAAACGCCCACAGGTGTGGTTCAGTGCTGGTCAGCAACTGCCATCAGCTGGCTGAAGCATCTACGTACACACACACACACACACACACACTCACACATAAATACACACACTCACGCACACATAATTATACTCTGGCAATCATTCCCCATTTCGTGTTAAATAACACATTGAATCGGATTGCGGCGCCCATAACAACTTGCCCATACTTACAGCAACCCTTCGCTCCAGCCCATACCCGTTCCCTTCTCTTCTCTTCCCTTCCCTTCCTTTCGTCCAACCCTCACTCCTATTTCGCCGCTGGCAGCTTGTGCGCCTCCGTATGTGGTCAACGCATTGGGCACTCGATAGGTTTTTGCGGTTTTTTAATCAAGTTATTTGCGCAGACCATCTTTGGGGTTGGGGCTGAGGGTTGGAAGCTATGGACTGAATTGTGGCCATGGTGCGAGCCGTTTGCTTAATGGCTTAAGTAGCCCCTCGCATAAATAAATACTCACATATATATCTATATATATCCAACATATATACATATATAAATTATATATATATATTTATATGTATACATATATATTTTTGGGGGCAATTTGTTAAATGTGTGCTCAAATAAATCACAAATGTGTTTCGCAATCAAAGTTTTCTCTGTTTGCCCAACGCATTTCACAGTTTATTGTGGCAGTTGCTGTTGCTTCTACTTCTTATTCTCTCCCCCCTTTTCTCCTATGTTTGGTCGATTTCTGTTTTGTTCTGTATTTGGCGCATCTCTGGCATCAAATTTATTGCGTTAATTCGCATGTAAAATATTTCGTACAATTCTCTAAGCATTTATCAAGCGTTTTATTATTGACAGAGGTCAGACCAATTGCCAGCTAAATGGGCGTGGTGGGGACGAAAATAACTTTGCTTACAGTTGCCACATTAAATGTCAAAAGTTTCAGCTCAAAATAAAAATGGGAAATTTGTATTTATGTGGATTTATTTGTGGCTGCGGTTGGCAATAAATTCTGCTCAAGTTTCGGTTAATAGGCAAAATAATTTTGGCATATCGATATTAAGTTTTGATGCCTTCTTCTTCTATACGATATTGGAATGCTTATTAAAATGTCAGTAAATAACATATGTGTGTATATGAAACAAATTATTTACTTACTTGCATATGTTTGTAAAATGGTAAGAATTGGTTCAATATTAATCGCGAATAATAGTTTTAAAGTTCTAAGAATAATTTTTAAAATTCGTATATTATGGGATTACGCAAAGCGTCCAAACTTGTACTAAAATAGTTGTATAATTATTTTCAAATCAAGAATGCATCCCAAATATGTATATATTTATATATTCTATATTTCAAAGTTAATTAAAATTGTGATTGCATTGCAATGCATTATTGTTATAACGCGCATGAATTTCACATTTATTTTAGTTCAAAATTGGAAATAAACAATTTTACCAAAGTTTTCGGTCAAATTTAATAATTTTATTATTTAGAAATCGTAATGGAAACTTTGATTCTCACTTCAATTAAATATTCTGAAATTTAATTACAAAATTTTAAATGCCAAAATTATCTTTTAATATGATCACAAATGGCATAAGTAAAATGCCTCACAGACACTGCTGCACTGCCATTCATCCTCTTGTTGCCTCTACATCTCTTTCAGACATTGAGCGTCCAAAAATTTCTGAACAAATTTGAAAATTCCAAAACTCGCTGAAGCATGCGAGTAGAAAATGATAGAATCCGCAATGAAATGCACAAAAAGAAGAGCTGAGAAAAAAAAAGCACATCATGCAGCCAGAATACAAGACACACACACACACACACACATATACACACGCTGTGTGTGACTTCGCTGGCTGACATCGACGACACATTGCCGCAGAATGCAATTGCATAAAGGTCATAAGGCAAAATGGCAAAAGTGGGTCGCAATGTGGGGCGGGCCGTGTGGCAGTGGCATCAAAGTCAAAAGCAACTTTTCGGCGAGTGAGTGTTGAAAAGAGTCGGCGGGTGTGGCTGGCAATGGGTCTGAAGCTGGGGTTGGGGCTGGAGGTGAGGAATGACGAACAAAGACGCCTGGGAAAATATTTTGTCATGTCATCAAGTGTGCTGGCAACTGTTGCAGTGGCCATTGCCGCCATGTTGATGATACGCAAGCCGAACGGTCCATCCATCCAACTTGCCCCC